GGGAGAGAGAGAGAAGAGAGAAGGGTGGTGAATTGTGGCTGGGATTTGGAGATGGTGGCTGGTGGGTGAGATTGAAGGTGGTGGCGGCGGTTGGGATTAGAGTTGGTGTCTTTCTTTTTTTGATTTTTTTGTTTTACATTTTTATTTTTTAGTTTTGCTCTTATTTATTGAACTTTAATTTGTATTCAAATAGTTATTTTTTAAAATTAATATTTAAATAGTTTTAAATTTTTTTAACAAAAATTTAACGGAAGGGATAACATTGGCTAACGGTCCTAAACGTAGGTACCGAATTGGCCAAATTGAAAACACATAGACTAAATTGGCCAACATGATAAAACACAGGGACCATTTTTGCATTTAAGCCAAAAAATACTGAATTTAAGTGATGGAAGTGTAGCATTTATGAAACAAAATAAAACAAAAAAGAGAAAGAGAACAGGCACATTTCACCGAAGACATAAGGCGAGGCATAAGTCTTTCGAGTATTGGATAATTATAACCAAGCAATTCAAGCAAACTAATCAATCCTGAAACTCTTTTTATGTTTTCTTCCCCATATCATATTTCTAATGATAGTGCGTCTTGAATTGCTTTTCCTCACATATTTGCTGCAATTCGAGCACGGTGATTTTCGAATTGGTGAAGTCACATGAACTTCATTGATAAGGCTATGAACTTTGTTAATTTAGCCAAAGTTTGATGGATTTATGCCTGTTGTGCTGTCATATAACGCAATTTTAGATGCAATAATTAGCATCAATTGTCTGCTACCGAAGAAGCACAAAAGGCAAACAAGGACCCGAAGACGCATTAGGTTCTATCTTCCTTGTAGAGAAACTGCACATAATCTTTCTCTGCCCTACCATGTTCACTTGGCGGTGTTTTCAGAAGCTGGCATCTCGTGTTGCCTTAATGTATCTTGGGAAGCCAAGGATGTGGATTTGAAGCTGCGTCCGATGAGATTTGAAGGATGAAATGCTGTATATAACATGCCAGTTCTGTGATCAATCGTGAGAGGGAGGTTGTATACAACAGTTGTATACTCTCATATCTCAATTAGATCAAATAGACTGCGCAAGTCTTAACCTATAGACCAAACTAGGTCTGGGATAAACGCTGGCTTGGTTACCTTTGCAGAGCTTCTGTATCCTCACCAGAATTCTGATTGTATTATTCTCTCAATAATTTGTCTCAGCTGTCCTTCTAATTTCTATTGATGGAAACATGAAAACTTCCAGGAACCTCAAGTCTATGGAATTTGCCATCAATCACGTGCCAAACAGTTCTCCGCGCTCTCTAGCAAACTCCATCATCCAGATTCTCATAAAAGAACACCAGTCTTAACAATGTCACCCATCTTGGAACTTAGACCTTGAACTCTCCTCCTGTTAAGGATAGAAGGCTATGTTTCACTAGCTCAACCAATTATTAGCATTTACTTTGGATTTAAGGAACATCACTGTATGCAGAGTAGTTTAGTTGTTGTTTCAGTATAAGCCTATTTTCGATCAGCATCTTAACTGCTACTTTGTTTCTGCTGTGAGTCATGGAAGAATAAAATCTCAGAAGGGTACTGTTGCTGGCAATGGCATTCCTTCCATTAGTGCTTCTCTACATAACTGGCCACATTGCCAGTGAAACTGTACAAGGGACAAGCACGAAACATATACTGTTATCTGAGAGTTCTGCAAGACCTGAACCCTGAGAGGAAGAGAGTCTACAGACACCAAGAACACAACCATGAAACTATTGAGCCTGGAACTTTCTTGGACAATCAATTTAGCTGATTTAAGCCAGAATAACATTTTAAAAAAGAAAAAATTTCATAAGAAAATGCAAGCAACTAACCCATTATAGTGGATCAAAATTCAAAAAGCACCAAAGAAGTACTCTCATCAATCAATATGATACTTTTCAATAGTAATATTGGAATGTTAAGAAGTACACGATTGTAGGTAGACAGATTTCCTGCCAAATAGACATAAAACCACACCGGCTACTAATCCCCTCACCAGGCCCTGCTAAATACAGAGATGAGAAAGCAATGCTAGATAAAACACTAGTGAATTTCCACTTTTTCTACCAATCTTGTAATTTTCATTACCAAGTCAGTTGGTCCCAGCAACTATACGACAGTCATTACATATTAGCTTAATCCAAGTTCTACACCCTACACCTAAACTAAAAGGAAGAACAAAGATAACAAACAGGACATCCTTGCATAGAAATAAAGAAGGGTTAAGAAGCCATCCCTTTACTGAGGAAACATGTCCTATCTCGATGAAAGCCTCTGATGCAAATCATCAGCCAATGCTTGCCTCAAGCTTTCCCCAAAGTAGAAAAACGACTTCTCACTGTCAAGCACCCTCGGTGGCGACCCACTCTCATCAGGGTCCTTCCAGAGCTCCGGTTCAGGCTCTCTCGCAATCTGGCACAAATTATGCAACACACAACAAGCAACAATTGTCTGGGGCACATGATTAAGACCCACATTGAGGTCCTGCAGAATCTTCCACCTCCCTTTCAGCAATCCAATTGCTTCAACCACAACAGACCTTCCCTTCATAAGCATTCCATCGAACAGGTTCTGTGCAGGAGTTCCCATCCCATTTGGGGAAAAGGGTGTCAACAAAAAAGATAGCAAGGGATAGCACCAGTCCCCAACAATGTAAGGCCTCACATGGTGACCCCTCACATTGATCACCTTATCCCAAACAATATCACCAGAAGTCAGCCTATTATACAAAAGACTATCTCTAAAATGGGTTGCGTCGTCTGTGCCTCCTGGAGCTTTGACACACACATCCCAGAAGATTTTCTTGTGATCAGCCACAACTTCGAGCAAAACCGAAGGGTACCCATATTTGCATTTGTAGTTTCCAGGCAAGTTGTGCTTGTGGAGCTTGATTGGGCTTCCGTCAATGGCGCCACACATGTTGGGAAGCGATGTGAGCTCCTCGAAAGCCTGGGTGGTCTCGATGAGTCTGCGGCGGGAGACCGGGATCTTGATGAACTCCGGGTAGAGCTTGGTGGCGAGGAGGCGGGTGACCATGTTGGTGATCTTGGAGACGAGGTAAGGGTCGAGGGAGTAGCGGGAGGCGAGGGTTTGCGCGGAGAAGCCATGGGAGAGGCGGGAGAGGACCATGGCGACGGCGTAGTCGGAAGGGAGGGAGAGGTTGGAGAGGGCGATGTGAGGCCGGAGCTTCTCGACGACGGTGGTGAAGACGGGGTAGGAGAGGCCGTAGAGGGAACGCCACTGGGCGTCGCGGAGAGGGGCTTCGAGGGACCAGATGTGCTCGGTGGCGAGGGCTCGAAAGGCGGAGACGGACATGGCGGA